AAGCAGTGGTATCAACGCAGAGTACTCGCAGACAAATAATGTACTAAAATGTTTTTACAGCTGGTTTGCGGTACCACAGGAACCGAATAGTGCAGTCGACGCAAAGTTTCGCGTTTTCGCAACATCCATCTTCTCCATCCTCAACCGATTAAATAATAAGCGCCAAAAGAATAATTTAACCGTTTCCCAATACCGTGGCTTGCGCGAAATCCGCGATAAATGCAACGCAGGTGAGATCAAAATCTCAGTCAGCGACAAAGGGGGAGAGTTCGTGGTGCTTTCTCGTGAGTTAGATATGGCAATCACGCGCAACCATCTGATGGATGATACCATATATCAGCCGTCAAGCGCCGCTGAGTTTGCCAACAATACCGTCGTCTAAATAGGATCTGGATAGATAGTGCTCGCTCTGCGGGGTTACCGAAGAGTATTGCTACGCGCCTCAAAAGCGACTTGCCTATCTGTCCCGTCCTATACACGCTAATAAAGACCCACAAACTTCCTGCCACAGCACTGACATCAGAAAATCCCTGCGATTTCAAAGTAAGACCAATTATAAGCAGCGTTGCAGGCCCCACCGACAGAATCGCTTGGTTCTTGAATACCATACTTGTACAATTGCTAAAATATGTCCCCGCTCATTTATCAAACACTAATATGCTTCTAGAGCGTCTCCGGGGCACACAACTGATCCCAGATTGTGTGGTGGAATCATTCGATGTAACGTCCTTATATACAAATGTATCGAATGATGCGGCGATGCAAGCGATTTACGAACTCCTCTTAGAGCATCAAAGTTCCCTAAACCTGTACGGCTTTAGTCTCACTAGCATCATGACCCTTCTAAGCGAATGCTTAAAGTGTTCCATATTTAGGTGGTCAGGTCACTACTATAAGCAGGTCCGGGGTTTGGCGATGGGACAGCGATTAGCGCCAACTCTAGCCATTGTTTTCATGTCCAAAGTAGAAGCGCCCGTGCTTTCGAGGGAACCATTGCTGTATTGTCGTTATATAGATGATTGCTTCATCATTTGTCCGACGCAAGCCGAGATGGATGTTTGTTTCAATCTTCTAAACCAGCAATACCCAGATATCAAGTTCACGCGGGAAAAGCCCAAGGAAAACTGGCTACCGTTTCTCAATGTACAAGTACGACTGTGCGGTGGGGATTATAAAACTAGGTGGTACCGCAAACCCAGCTGTAAAAACATTTTAGTACATTATTTGTCTGCGCATCCCAGCAAGCTTAAAAATGCGGTTATAAAGAACATGTATCGGACAGCAGCAAAAGTGTCTTCGGGCATGCAAGAGCGAATCTACTCTATGGAGTTAGCTTATCAAGTAGCTAAGTCTAATGGGTATGCTGGTGAGCCTATCCCAAACCCTCGCGGGTTTGTAGGACGCAGAGCCAGTTCCAGCAGCCCGGATGCGCCACTTACAAAAATCGCTTTCTGCTTGCCGTTCGTATCGGATAAGATAAGCGCGGCAGTGCGGCGATGCGTACATCTCGCGGGTTTGCAAGACGATGTCAGGGTGGTCGATATACCACCCTCGAACCTAAAGCGCCAATTGGTCCGAAATCGATCTTACGATCGTACATGCCTAACACCAGCTTGTGTCGTTTGCCCATTTGGCAAAGAGGGTGATTGCATGATCTCCGGGGTTATCTATCTCATCACATGTTTATCGTGTGGTGATACGTATATAGGAGAAACAGGACGACCTCTTTGCTGCCGCGTTAAAGAACACCTGGATGGGTTGAACAAACTAAAAGCAGCTACGCCGTTAGGCAGCCATCGTATTTCGTGCCATGAAAATGCTGAGATTAGTATTGGAGTGACTATATTAGCGTACGAGCCCGACCTCCTAGCGCGCAAAACTTTGGAAGCGTTCTGGATCAACGCCAAGAATGCAAAGATGAATCGGAAGGAAGAGTGCATAGCCATCACCAATGAACTGGCGCCATATCAATACCTCTGTGGGTTTTGATATGAGGTCAGGTCACCCGAGCACTATATATAGGGGAAGAGGTATAGTCTGAGTATATGGTGGTCTAACGCATCATCACACGTTATCGAAGGTGAGTCTTGGTTACCCGATCTCTCTTTGCCTTTGCCTCTCTCCAATTTGACTTTCGGCTTGAGCTAGAATCTTGGCGTCTAGGAGGATGTTTCACTCATGTTTTCGACTTTCTAGGCTCTGAAGAAGGCGATCCCGCCGAAACGTTGGCCGTGAATAAAGTGTGGCTGATATCTTGGTCGACGCTTAGCAAGCTCAAACGATTATCAACCATCCACCTTTACTTCATTCAAAAATCATGTGTGGCTTTGAAGGCAGCGGCTCGGCAGATTTTGCACTTCAATCTTCATGCTTTGGGCCTTCTCGAACCGTAGATCCCGAATCTGAGCTTTAAAAGGGGTGAAAAAGCCTTTACCGTGGTGTTTTCTTCAATTTCCGAAAGGCAGCTCGGACGAGAATTTTTTAAAGGAGAGTCGGGAGGCCCAGGCACGAAGACCCTGCTGCCTGTAATTTTGGCTTTGTATAGCATGCACAATGCAGGAAAGCGGTTGGGGGGTCCCGCGCCGTCTAGCGGAGAATACTCGAGGTGTTAGGGGAGCGAAAGGAGGAAGGGGAGCGACGCTTGGGCCGCCCTCCTGGCTTGGAGAATCCACATTTTCGGCCCGGAGTTGCTCTTTTGGTTCACTTGGAGGGCCTCCTATCCATGTGTGTCAAAATCTAAGGTAAGTCTATTCTGCCGAGCTGCTGCCTTTAAGCTTGCAAAAACGAGCAGAATCGTCATCAGCTTGTTCGACAGTCACGTTTTGTCTAGATAGTGCAACATCTTCGTCTCGAAGTACGCAGAATACTCTACGCACTTTAATACTGAACCAGCTCAGAAACAAGGTACCAACCCGCGAGGGATGTACCAAAACATATCAACGTTTCAGAAGTACTCTAATTTCCTGGGTGTAAGGCGCAGTAGCTTTCACTGCGCGCGGACTGATGTGCGATGACGTTCTCGATGCGCGGCACCGCACAAGCTGCTAACAGTAAATCTCTACCTTTTCTTTTATTAAGAATGACGAGTATAAAACAAAAACAGCACCTTAAAAATATAAGTAGTATCATTGTAAAGAAAGGACCGTTTTAGCAGCGTTATTGGAAACGAAGGAAAGCAGAAAATGCAGCACAGGCAATATCATTGGAAACAAAAGAAAGAATCATCTACTAAACGTCATAAAACCATTGAGAACCTCTTCCTCCCACCTGTAGAAATGATTTCAAAGTATACGTTTTGAGAAGATTAAAAAAAAGGACCTGAAGGCATGATTTATAAAAAGTGAAGAACAATTGCAACACACTGAGTCTTCATCTTTCTAGATTCAGAGAGCGTTTAGAAAGCATTTTCGCGCCATTGTTCGCTGCGGTGCGCCTTATACAAGGTATGCCTTATACCCCGGAAATCAAGGTATATTGTTCCGCAGGAATTTCGAACGATAAAGTCAAAATTATTTTGAACTTCTTTTGAAGACTTCTCCTAAATAAGCTGCGAGCGGCATTCTGGTGTAGTGGATCGGCAAACACAGTGCTGGACATAATTATAGAGACACTCTAGAAATCGTCGTAATTTTCGTTCTTGTCAGTGAATCTGTCTGAAACTTTGCTGTTTGGTGCGCATGTAAGCCTACCATAACTCCTCAGAACGGCTTCCAATCCCATTGATTTCGAACGGAGAAAAATGGAAAAATTCGAAAAATCATGTTTTGCAAGCTGGACATAATTATAAAGACACCTGGGCTTTTTAAACATTATCGCATTCCTTGACTCCCAAATTTTTTTGTAGAGTTACATCCCAGAATATGAAACTTTTGCAGCACCTAGGACTGTCATGCTACTCAAGAAAAAATGATCCTTGCATTTTTCGTTTCCAAAGGCATCAGAAGTCAAACTGCTCAACAAACAACGGTTTGAGGAGTTTTCAAGCCCGCGTTCATTTCAAATGACAGTCCTGGAATACTTAGCCTTTTTGATAGATAAGGTGAAGAGCGCTTTTGTAAACTCCGCGTGATCGCTGATTTTGACGGACAGACTCCAACCTCACCATAGGGTTGTCGCGCTTTTACACCACAAAACTCATTTTCCAATGTTCGTGAAATGATGGACTCGATTTATTATATTGTCTACATGGAGACGCAGCTTTTGCAACAACTTTCAGATTTTTTCTAGTGCTGCAGTTGGCATTTAGATTTGAAATACTTTCCACAAAAATTCTCTGCGAGCAGTAGATTCAACACAATCACGAATCTCACTATTTCCTTCTCTGTTTCATGTCGCATTTTACGCGGTAGGTGAGATTAACTAAGATCTTGAAGTTTCAAGC